AAAATATAATGTCTATACTTCATATTGACCAAAGATATTAGGATTGCAGAAGAAAGATTAACAACGTTTATCTGAGCTATACGTTGTTTGTACTACTTATTCTACGGCATTATGCGGAATTATTGGATTCGTACGATGTTTGGCAATTCAAAGCGTTCTAAAATGATAATATTGCAAAAAGTATTGTTAATTATTCAATGCATATCAACATACGTCTAATATGTCATCGACATTATTTTGTCTAGTTAGAGTTGCAATCCGAATGAGTTCTTCAAGATTAACACAGAGGTCGAAGCTATGCAGTAAGCTTATTACATATAGCCATACTGATTTGTGCGTTGATGTCATTCTTCATTCTTTAAAGCTTAAAATACAGCTATAAATCCGATGAAGGAACCAACACGTCGTGCTTTTGAGAGACAACTTAAAAATGCGTAGAAGTACTAAGGCACGGGTGTTGGTATGTTGGATTGGTGTTGGTTTCATCGTCACCTGTCTGACACCCACAACATACACTATCCAGCACTCATACTCTGGTCTTATTGAAGTTCATCTGCATAATTGTGTTCTAAAATAAGCGTTTTTTCTCGGTATTGAAATTTTAAAAAATTCTAAATCCTATGAAATCCTTACTCCAAATGTTTATTGAGACATATTAGAAGAAGTTTTATCGTCTGTTTGGTTCAATTCTTTAAATGGCAGATAAGTAAAACATTATACGCTTGTTCAAATCTGATCGTCTACTTCATAATATATTTAATGTCAGACTCGTTTGGACTAGTCAAATACATCTCATTAGAGCGTGTCGTGTGAACTGTATCCAACACGCTTCTTTTTTGCAGTTTCAAATCATTTTCTGACGGGAGTCATGGCTTCTAGAAGTGTTTAGTCAGCGTCTCAAAAAGTCCTCATCCAGCACTAGTCTTCATTCTAGATGATAATTTAATATCTAACTGGTGTTGAACCTGTCCTTGAAGAATCTCTCTCTAGAAAAAGACTGGCTGATATGTAAACTGTCGCCTATTGATGATAGAATAAAGATGAGATTCCAGGACATAGCAAGTTTCAGATTAGTCCAGGAGGTGGGCTTTTTCAGACTCTGACTAGACACGTCAATCCAACCTGACTAGCAATAATATTCAATATTTAGTCCATCGCTAGCTGACTTCAGTGGTAATGAATCTCTTAAAGTTACCTAGTGAAGTAACCGCTTGGTAATATTAGCTATCCAACGCTTATTTTTCGTTTTATGTGTAATTTAGCGAGCAATCATGAGACAATACTATTTGGCACTAATGGATTTAGATTCTTCCTACTATATGTGTGAATGCATCTCACCTATTGAAAAGATCTAATCAAAAGAGAAAATTCTTAACTAGCAGAACGTCAAGTACGTCGATTTGATTATAAAGTATAAGCTACTATCCATTTCGCTAGATCACTACAGCGCTCAACAAAAGAAGGTATCTTCCTTGAACAGGCATAAAAATAGATAATAGTGGACTGATGTTTTAGGAATGTGTGAGTCAGGGCTAAACCTAATTGCCAGCACTAGTCTGGTCTCGATTAGTTGTTCCTAATGCATTTATACAGCGAAAATCTTGTTCATCCTGTAGTTTCTATGTCAGACTCAGGATGACATTGGATGGAATTAATTTTTTGTCTAATGAGTTAACAAAATCTGCCCTATCCTATCCCGTGGGCTGTGTAGAATCGTGACAAAATTCTATGAAGCTTCAAACGATTTTATCAGAATGAGAGTTCTTAAATTAGAGTGTCATTCGATATGTTCAATAAGAATTTGAAATAGAGTGTACTAGTAAACTATGCTTTTCAGAACACCATGTATCCATATAATTACTCTTTTCGTGTACATCAAGTAACTTCAAAATAAAAACATATTCATTAAAATCTTGAAATCTATGCAAAAAGCATAACAAATGGTATCTTTGATGATGAAGTGACATAAAATTGATGCTTTTTCAAATACATTGATTAAAATTGACATATTGATTAAAAAATGCAGTGAATTTATTTAAGAATTAAATTCAATGTATGGTTTTCAATTAAAATACTGGTATTCATCAACAAGAAATGAAGGGTGTGGGTGTGGGTATTGCAATTAATACCCACACTCCCAGTACAGAAAATCAAACAATCACGAGTATTAATTTGTGAGAAAACTGCAGCTTGGCGAATTAATTTTACAGTGAAAGAAATCGAACAACAGCAAGCACTTGCTCTTGGAAGGAGTATGACTAAACGAGCTACTATATCACCAAAAGAAACTGAAAAAGTGCGTGTATTAGCTCGCACGAGAAGTACTGAAATACGCGCTGCTTATGCACCGAAACAAAGTCGAGCAACAGCAAGCAGTGGCTCGTAAGAGAAAACATCTTCGGAAAAATCTGTAAGCACAAACGGTTACTGATAGAAACAAAAATCCTAAAAGTAGTGACACTGAATAACCAAAACCTATTGAAATGGACTGCACGATTAACTGCTCAAAAAACTCCAGTCAACATATGTCGATGAGTTCTCTAGCAGAGAATATTTGTGGCATTTGTAATGTTCGTTGCTATAAGAGTGACCTCTGACACATACCCTTGTGCGAAATTCCATCGACTGAATTGATTAGAGTACATAATGATCTTTATGACATAATTTCTATTATGCAACGAATGAGCAAGTTCCATTCAAAAGATAAGTTTAACAAGAATGACGATCTTAGTTTATCTTTCGGTCGAGACGAAAGAGAAGCAGCTGGATCATTGTAACACTTAGACTAGCAAGACTAATCAGATTTCTTTTTATTATAGATATGAATATAAAATCATCAATGGATGATCAATCGTTTACTTGGGTAAACAGTATATTTCTCTATAAAGCAAGGAGTCATAAAGCTTTTGATAAAAAGAGACAATCTTCTGTATAATGCGACATTTGTACAAAATGTTGGCAGTTCGTGGTGAAAGCAAAAATACGCAAGTTTTCAGCTGCCAATAAAATATAAAGGGGAGATGTGACAAAAAATTACAAGGATTAACCATTCCCGAGCAAAGACTTATTGCTCTCTACCAACACAATAGCTGCATTGTGAAATTATATTCGTCTTTTCACTCGATAAGCATAGCTCAATCAACTTTAAAAGGCAACTGCATAAGCTTTCCTCAAGATACTATTAACATAGCTACTACTCTGCCATTAGAATTAGATGATCTATGTGATTCTCTAAAAATTATTTTTGTTAATTGTCGCACTCCACAAAGAAGTCAACTAAAAAAATATTTTGACTGTTCGAAAAACAAAGGTTTCTGATGCACTTAAATGACTTAGTCCAAACAATCTACTCCATCGATATGTTACATTTAATCAATCAACACTCAATAAATTATTTGAGAATGATGCCCCAGAGTGTTCCTGGACAACAATGGAAATTTCCGCTGAGGTGAAAGCGGTTGAAAACGAAAGGACATCTTATATTCTTAACCCTCTGATCAATGCATCTGAGTCCAACACGACAACAGCTATACCAATAACTGCGAGGTAAAGCAAAAAGGCATTGATATTTGTATCTACCACTGCTTGTATTGTAGTGTTATCTTGCATGTTAACGGCACCAAAATTTCGTTTGATGACTTTGTTGAACATCTTTTAGAATGAATAAAGGTACAAATTGGTCATAAAACGCTGGAAAAAGACATCGAGGAAAACGTTGAACAAGATACTCTGTACATAATTCTTCATGGTAACAAACCGGCCAATGAATATTCTAATCCAAATCTTTTATTGGGTATATTTCTTACATTTTTTCCGTATGGATGTGATACACTTGAAGATTACTCTCGACCAGCCCAAATTAATTTTTGTGAGCATCTTAGATATCTTCTTTCGTACGGAGATCATCGTTTTGAAGAACACTACTCATCCATATTTGTTGTCTTCAATATTTTACAACGCCGAATCGCGTGCTTCCATGCCCAATTAATAACATCAAGGCCGTACTTTCAGCAATCCGCACAACTTCTTGAATTATTGAGTTCTGAAGATGTAACAACGGCCCTTGTCAACATCTCAAAAGCGTCTTATTCCAAAGTTACTAATGAAAGAATAAATACGCTCATGAAGCATATCAAAGTGGTTGGTGGTCATGTTATGGATTCAGTTCATTCGCGGTCGACTCTTCGTACGAAAATTCATTCTTTGTGTTTTAATCTCGGTCTTCCAACTCTCTTCCTACCAATCAATCCAGCCGACATACATAGTCCAGTGGCATTTATTTTGCAGGTGTTGATCCAAATCTTGACAAAGTTCTGCCAGAAGTGTTGGGCACAAGTTATGAATATGCTCAAATTATCGCAACACATCCTATTGCTACTGCAAAGCTCCTT